GGGGGGGGGTCGGGTTGTACTGCAGAAACTTTGTAACATGTAAACTTCAACAGTTTTAATAAAGTTGTTTACATACAAAAGTGCAGTCTGTTGAAGACATGTCATTTGGAGGCACTGCTATCCTCCCCTTCTGGTCCCAGAATGCATCCGTCAAAGTATTTTAACACCCCAAATGTCAATTGTACGATTCAAGATGTAAAAATAAATATTGAGGGGTAAAAATTACTAAAATAACGGCGAACACGTAAAAATAACAACTCCCTAATGCTTCAGTCGGAAGCCTTAGGCCCCGTTCACATTGAGCGATTTATCGCGCGGTAATTCCTGCGATATCGCGGCTATTTACCGCGCGATATCGCTCTCCAATGCTTGGCAATGGGGCAAAGGGTCCTGCTGTCGCGGGTCGTGCGTCGCTACAGCAGGACCCTTTTTGGAGCGGATTTTGCCGCGATTCCAGCTTGCTCAATGCAAGCATTTTTCCGATATCGCGTGACAAATCGCGCGATATCGCGCAAAATGCAAATTGCACGACAAACGCACAATTTGCAAATCGCCAAGTGTGAATGGGGCCTTAAAGTGACATTAAAGGCAACATTTCCCCCCCGCCCCCCATTGCTGCTGCAAGCACTTGCCTTATTTGATGCCTCTTTCTGCAATCAAATTCTTCCTTCCACTGGTTTCCAACAGTCTCTCCAGCGCTGGTGCCGGTCTCTGATCCACCGCAGACTCCTCGTGTCCTACGGTGTCTGTCTAAAGTGCGCGCTCCCGGCTGCGTCCATTAAGCTTCAGTGTCTGTTTTCTCCCCTGTACTGGGCATTCGGCCGCACACTTCTTCACAGCCGTTCGGAAGTGTTTCAGCCGAGAGCAAGCGGCGCTGGAACAGGTAAATAATTAGCTATATGCCTAATTTTTTACTTTTTTTATCATGGGGCCTATATCTACTGCTTGCTAGCAGTAGATGTATGCCAAAAAAAAGAGACTTTAATTAACTTTAACGAGCATGCTAAATAACAATTGGGACTTTCGTGAATTCCGTGTTTTTAAACGAAAAATAAGGAGAAGTAAATTAACAACTAGAGAGAGCAAATAACGTTTCTCTTTGTGAAGTGACCCCAAAATTTCATGAGGTATTTACAGTAGTTCTTAGTGAATTGAGCCTGGGATGTAAAACTCAAATCATCATAAACAAGTGAGCAGCTAATATAATTATTTCTTCAGATTCAGGGCTCAATTCACTAAGTCCTGGTTCACACTGAGCGTGTGAAACCCTGCATAAATCTGCCCCCAAAAAACTCCAATTAATTTCTATGGCCCTGTTCACATCTGTTTTGTTGCAATAAGCAAAACGCCTGTCGCCTGAAAAAGTACAGGAGCTTCTTTTTTTTTTTGGCATATTACAGCTCGTTGTGGCCCCATAGACTCAATAGGAAACGCTTAAAAACGCCCGTTTACTGTGTTTTTGCATGGTTTTATGCACTTTTTCTTGCTGAAATGCTGAAAAACGCGCCTTAAAGCACACAAAAACGCTGTCGCCTTGGTATGAACCAGGCCTAAGCGCTAAATACCTCATGAAGTTCTGAGCTAAAATAACTAATGCGTTTACTCATAAGTACCGTATATAATTCACTAAAATCTATGAGGTATTTACTGAATGAGAGATTTCTTAACATGAGGTATTTATTTCATCATTTAAGCTTTATTTTATTTTTGTTCACTTTTTTGGGATTGTTCCCAGTGAAAAAAAGGCACATGGGTGCGGTCATTTGCACCCATAACATTAAAAACCAGCCGAGGTGTAAAAAACGCTTTTTATGTGGTTCCATTCCTGACCTTAGGATACCATTCTCCTCTGTTTGTATGTGATAATCAAATGTTCCATTTTCTAAAAACATAATAACGAATGTGAGATAAATAACGCTTAAACTGTAAAAACCTGAGGTAAATATTCCATGAAATACAATAAAATAATTTAAAAAAAGGTATGAGGTAATTATCATTGGCCCGGGGCAGTCAGAGTTTGCAGCCTGTCAGCTTGTGGCAGCGTGAAAGTGTTCATAACCTAATAGTAAATAAAAGTAAATCACCAGCACACACTTGAAGGGTTTTTAAAGTATTGATATGTTTATTCAATACCCAATGTCACATACGGTCATACGGTGCTAGCGTTTCGGGTCCGCACAGGGATCCTTCATCAGAGCGACAGTGACACAATGCATAGGTGAACATGCAGGTATAAATACACATCAATCCAGGTGCAAACAGACAGCCCATGACGT